AATCACTGTCAGCTGTGAGCCAAAGTCACTCCTCTTCCCATAGTTCCAAGGCTTTTTTTTTCCATCCCACAAGAAGAAAAAAAGACCAATTCACCTTTTCTGTAAGAATCAGACTTCACTGACAGCCCCCGGCCTCCCGGAAGACACCATCTGGCAAGTGTGGGGCTGCGTTCAAACAGAATCACTCTAATGACAGTTCTCGCAAGGCCGAGTGGGGATGTCGCCTCTAACTTGCTTACTCTCCTTAGGTTCCAAATTACAGCCTGCAAATTGAAAATTACACATAGCTTTCGCAAGCGAGACCGTAATTCTAGGCTTTCACCATATTGTTTTTCTCAGTCCCAGTAAACCACACAGGCCTGACACCGGACTGTCCCCCACGGCCGTGAGCCAGGGCCCAGCCACTGACAGCCCCACCGTGTGGCTCTGGGAACCCTGGCCCCGTGTCCCGCAGCCCGGGCTCTCCTGTGCTCCCTGTGGCTCCCGCGCTGTCAGAGTTGGGGCTCCATGCCAGGGGCGTGGGCTGCCCCCCTACACACCACATGTGCACCTTCGGCCACCTTCCAGGACGGGGGTCCACAGGCCATGGATGGCAGCATGTCTCGAGCCCCCAAAAATGTATCTCGCCAGGTGTGGTGGCGCACGCCTGTAATCCCAGCATTCAGGAGGCTGAGGCAGGAGGATTGCTGTGCATTCGAGACCAGCCTGGGCTACATAGTGAGTTCCAGGTCAGTCTCAACGACATAGTGAGACCCTGTCTCAAAAAACCAAAGAAAAAAAAATGTATCTCGAGTGGAACGGGACGGGATACAAAAGGGCAAGTGCATGAGCTCAGGGCATCAGTCACGGGGTTCACAAGCTGTTCTGTGCTGGTCTTTGTGTGATTTGTACTCAGAGCTTCAAGGCCATGAGTGACTCTAGAGCAGGTCTGGCCCCTGGGAGCCCTGGGTTTGCTTGCTGTGGAGTCACAGTTTGGCTCCGGTCCTGCCCTTTCTCCTCCCTCTTCTTCTCTGCCACTGAGAGAAAACAAAACAAAAACAGACCGATCCCAAGGAAGTGTCCTCCAGTGCCGGCCTCGCCTGTGAGCCCCCACCCTGACTTCGGGACTTCACCACAGCTCACTGCTCTGATTGGAGGTGGAAGAAATCCCAGGGGTCCTCTCAGGGCTCTGGACCATGCCCGCCCTGCGGAGACTGGAGCAGGTGTCCGGATGTTCGTTGTTCACTGTTCATCCCTGATCCCCGATTTGGAGAAGCAGCGCCGAGTTGCATGCTGAGAGGAGGCTGTGTGGGCTCCCAGGGTAGGGATCAGACCGCAGACAGTGTGCGCAGTGTGGGATGGGCACAGGAGGAGCAGAGAGGCGGCCGCCAAGCCCCTCGGGGAGGGCCCACCACGATGGCTGGGTGTCGTCCAGGACCAAGGGCCCAGACTCCAGGCCAAGTGTGAGGCAGGAAGCAAGGATGGGTCCCAACGGGGAGCCGGGCACAGGGCGGCAGTGTCGCCCTTTCTCGGCCTTTGCAGTCTGCTGGGCAGGGTGAGGCTGAGGCCAGGTGCAGGGACAGGAACGTCGCCCCCTCACCCACAAGGTCACAAGGTCTGACCTCTCCCTTCTGGAAACGCGCAGCCTCAGCGGACCCTGATCGGCCATTCCCGAGCCCAGCCAGGCTGGCAGAGAACTAGGCACAGGAACGATGGAGGGTGCGTGCGTGTGTGCGTGCGTGTGTGCACGTGTGTGCGCGTGCGTGCACGTGCGTGTGTGCACGTGTGCGCGCGCGTGTGGGCGAGGAGAATGAACCGGGAAAGGGGAGCCAGAGAGGGACTGGCGCATCAGAGTGCACAGGGCAGGTGTGAGGGGTGGATCTCCCAAGCATCAGGCACAGCAGGGCGAGTGCCCCAGGGAGAAGTAAACTGAGATCAGGCCCAGAACAGCACCGGGGATGGGAGGTCAGGGTGCAGGAGACGTGAACGGGCGGTGGGGTCTCTGCAACAGTGCACAGACCTGACCCACGGCCCCTCACATGTGCTATCGGGGACCCGGCAGCTCCGTGACACGTGGGCTCCCTGGCCTATGTCCCTGCCTGACAGCTCCAGGCTTCTCTCCAGACCCAGTGGGACTGCATCCTGGAGTGAGAGGCCTCGCTGGGAAAGCCTGGAACCTGTGGGTATTTTCCCACCAAGAAGCAGATCAGACCACAAGGCTGCCTGTTAATTTCAGGACCAAGACCCGAGTTATAGAAACAACCCTTCCTGATACCTTCATTTCCATTTGCCTTTTGTTTTTCTTTTCTACTTTAAAAGTTATGCGTGCCTGTTGTTGGAAGTGGACCTGTAAATATCACAAATCCACCCCACTTCACAGTTGTGTTCCTTATTTTGCGTTGATGAGCTTGTTTTAGTAGCAAATCCCAAATTGCTAAAATCCAGAGGTCAGCAAGACACAGTTAGAGCGGTGCTTTCAGAGATTGTAAACACAGAATAAATTTCAGCTTCCTGTAAATGGAGCGTGATTTCCATAATAAAGCTGTTATTGTCACTGGTGCATAGCTTAAGGCAGCAATTACAAGGAAAACAGATACTATAGCTCTACGCTTTCTGGAAAAATAGCAATTAGATTCATTGAAATCATATTTTCCCCTAAAAATAAAGAGATGGGCTAATTCTCAATGGTGTCCCCCAACTTCACGAGGACTTTCTGGGTAATTGCAGTACTAACAGCTACCTTCTGCTTTTGTTTTTGTTTTTGTTTTTCCTTTCTGCAGGTAATTTCTGCTACTAAAACCATTTCAATCCACTTTGTTCTGAGTCCTCATTAATTTAAGTTAATTTAAGTGTTTTAGTTCGGTGCTTTGATGACTTCATTTTTCTCCCTCCCTCCTGTGGAACTTCATCTTTTTTTTCTTCAGCTTTAATTGAGTTTATTGGTGCATTTTAGGGATACAGTACAGTTACATTCATTACTGGGATCTTGTACCTTTACATGACAGGTCTTGGTTCTCATTTTTTCCCCTTACCTCTGCCCTCCCTTCACCCCCTCCTCCCCTCCCATCTACAACCACTTTATTTCCTTCTTTTCATTATCGCACATTTTTTTCTTTTCCTTTATTACCCTTCCCCTACCCATCCCACCTTCCCTACACCTTTAGCTCCTTTCTTCCCATTTCTAAATGTCAGTTATCTTATTAGGATCTTATGTATCATCTTGACACAGCCTGACTTCATACATAGTCGTCTTTCCTTTTTCTCAGTTGCAGTAAAATATATGTAACATAAAATTTAAATGTACAGTTCAGTATTATCAAACACATTCAGTGTCGCACAACTATTGCCGCCTTCAAAAGTCTCCCACACTTTTTCATCAGTGCAAACAGCAACGTGAGATCTAATAAACACTAACTTGCTGTTCTCCCCTCCTGTCAGGTACTGGTCACCTCCATCTAACTCTCTGCTCTACGCATCTGGTCTAAACCTTCGTGTAAATGAAATCATTTGCCCTTTGGTGCCCGGCCTGTCTCATTTAGCGAAGCATTTTCAGGGCCCGTCCCCACCGAGGCACGGCAGGCTTCACTGTTGCCGAGGACCCAGGTCCTTGGCTGCCTTCCCAGGGCAGCGCCTCGCCGGGGCTGAGCCCAAGCTCGGGGTGTCAGCGAGGGCCCCCTCTGTGCCATAGATGCTGTCTCCTCCTGTGTCCTCCAGTGGGAAGAGCCAGCTGCTCTCCTCTGACGGAGGCCCGGCTCCTTCGTGGGGCACTGGGTGGCGTTGTCGGCCATGGTCCGGGTATCCGCCTGTCTGTGGGTGGCATTGGCCTGTTCGTGTGGGCTGTCACTGTGCGGGGCGCGTCCGTGTGCAGTGCGTGCCTGGGGCCTGCCTTTGGATTCTGAGGTGCCCACCTAGAAGTGGGATTAATGGATGCTGTGGGGTTCTGTGCTTAACGCTGAGCACCCAACGGGCTTCCTGCACCTGCATCGGGAGTGGACAGAGCCGTGACTTCACACCTCCTGTTTTCTGATTGTCTGGTAATAGCCATCCCAATGGACAGGAACTTCTATCTCATTGTGGGCCTTGTCTCTACGGTTTGAAAATAATGGAGTTTTTAAATTTTATTTTCTCCACATTTTTAGTTAGTGCGTGTTGGGCATAAGGAGCAATGGTTTCATTTGGGCAGATCTGTCCAGGCATGTGACGTACTTCTGTCACTTCCTCCCTGTACCTCCGTTTCTCGTGTGGGGGAGAGCCCTGTTGCATGATGTATTTTGGTCACATCCGTCCCCCGTTGCCCACCCTCACCCCAGTCCATCGCCCATCTTCCTGTCCTCTTCTCTACAAACGGTGCAGTGCCTGCTGTGGCTTTGTCCAGAATTCTGCGGAGCCTCGTGTGCTCCCAGGGGAGGCGTTGGTTGTTGCTGACTGGCTGGTGGGAGCCGGCACTGGCGGGAGAGGCAGTCGCTGGCTGTGTGACCCGGAAGGGCTTATATCCTGCTCCTCCCTTCACGCTCCCTGCCTGCCTGCCTGCTGCGGCCCTGCTGTGAAGAGCTTTCCTCCACCCAGCACCCGCCTCAGGGGCAGCCAACCAGGTCTGAAATGTGAGCCAGAATAAACTTCTCCTAAAGTTGTAGGTGTCAGATATCTTGTCCCAGCAATGAGGGAAGCAAGTAAGATAGTCTCCCTTCTGTGCCCTAGTCATCTTTTTGAGATGCCATACATGTATCAGGGAGAACATGGAATATTGGTCTTTCTGAGTCTGGCTTATTTTGCTCAGCGTGATAATCTCTAGATCCATCCATTTTTCAGCAAATGGAAAAAAAAATCATTTTTTTCTGACACAGTACTCCAGTATGTGCAAGTGCAAACACCACGTTTTGGCTATCTATTCCTCTTTTGAGGGCACCTAGCCTGGTTCCATATCTTGGCTATTGTGACTGGTGCTACAATAAACATGGATATGTAGATATCTCCATAGTATACTATCTTTAATTCCTTCAAGGATTGGTATAGGTGGGTCAAATAGTAGTTCTTTTGTCACTGTAAAGAAGTAACCATGTGAGTGGCAGGTGCAGCTCCATAAGGAAGTGGGAATATAAGTTCAGTTCAAATGCCCTGGGCTCAGTTTTCAGTACTGGGGGGAAAAACAGAGAGACAGGGAGAATTAGATTTCTCACTGACAGCAAAAGTATATTACAAAATATAGAAAGGCGGAAACTGGAATTAAGCTGGTAGCGTTGAGCTGAATTTGGAAATGTTGGTGCCAGAGCATAACACACATGGCCAACTGAGTCCGGCTGCAAGTGGAGTCCTTATTCCCACTTGAAACCTCCTGAGCCTGGCCTTTACTGTCCATATTCCTGTGAGCATCGTGGCCTTCTGAGCTCTGACCAGTATTCCCCATCAAGCACCTCTCAGTGTTCTAGGGCTTTTCTAGCTGCTTATCTCTAAATTTTTCAAATTCCTCCCCATACTAGTTCCAAGGACTTCTGAACCAGTCAGTTATACTCATTGCAGTGATTCTGCTTCTTTACTACCGGTTTTTCTGTATTAATCACTCTCCTGTCACTTGAGACATAATACCCAACACCCACAACTTACAGAAGTTTAGTTTGGCTTGTAGTTTCTGGGGACTCCATCCATGCTCAGCCAGCGCCAAGGCAGAAATGTGGCAGAGGGCGCTGCGGAGGAAAGCTGCTGGCCTCATGGCAATCAGGAAGCAGAACAGGGAAGGACCCAGGGACCGTGTAAAGTACCACAGTCACGTCTCCATGACCCACCCACACTCAGGAGCATGTTTCACTAACCTACTAGGCCTTGCTTAATCCAGTGAAGCTGACACATCGGGATTAATAGTTACAAGAGTGGAGAAAGTCAAGAACACAGATAACCATCGGCAGTTAAAGGAGACTGTGTCAGCTGTGCAGGGCGGGGTGGTTGTAACTGTGGGTGGAGCTAACGTTTCAATGTGAATTTCTTGATTTTATGATATTGTGTATAGAGGAAAATATCTTTGTAGAAAATATGCATCAAAGCACACAGAGGGTGATATTCTATAAATTATCATTCAGATAGTAAATTCCTGTTTGTAAAGTTATTGTAAAACCCAGGGCTGGGGATAAAGCTCGGGGGCACTGTGCCTGCCTGGAAAGCACAAGGTCCTGAGTTTTGATTCCCCATGGGGGGGGGGCTAAAATTATTTTAAAACTCAACTGTCAAAGGAGATTCACAAACAGAAATGACAGTAAAGTCCCTCGGCCCTGAAGAAATCTGTTGTGAAAGTCACTGAAGCAAATGGGTGACAATCTACATGTCAGATAAGCCCGTGAATGACCCCGTGCCCTTGCTTTCACCTTCATAATCAACTTCGCGGTCGTCTCAGTCTAAACCACTTTTTAAAAGGTGATATCTGTCTACTGCCACTGAAAGGGTTCTTCATGTAGTTTCCATTTTTAAATGGGTGATTAGAATATGACAACTTGGAAAGTATATGGCTATCTGCGTTTCGTCTTTGAAGAGGATTTCACCCTAGGAAAGTTGTTCTGGTACTTCCTGCAGAGGCCAGTAGGTGGCAGGCGAGGAGAGGAACAGTTTTCCTTCCCTGCCTGGGCCAACGGCAGACCCCTCTGAAAGGTAGAGAGCCTGGGCTCCTGGGCTCCTAGCCTTCCCTCCCCTCCTTGAGGATGGGGTTTCCGAGGCCAGTCTCTCCCAGTGAATGTTCAACCGTGGAAAACCTATCACAAGAAGGCAGCAAAAACAGGTGCATGTAGACGCACGACTGTGCGTGCTGTGGAGCTCACTGCTTTCTCTCCTTTTGTGACTTGTAGAAATCCCGCTGATCTTGTATCTCTTCGCCCTGATCTCGGTGACGTGGCTCTGGGGCGGCCTGCATGTGGCCTACAGACACCTCTGGATGCTGGTTCTCTTCGTCATCTTCAACAGCCTGCAGGTAAACCTCGCGGGCCCTCGCTGCCCACGCGTCCCTGCCGGTCCTCCGCTCGAGGCCTGCGTGTGCAGGTGGGTGGCGCACACGGCGACCGCACTTGGGCTGCGGACTGACCCTGCGGGCCAGCGCAGGCAGTGTTCACGCCGCATCCTGACCCATGGGCACTGCCCCGGCGACCAGGGAAGCGGCACGCTGCGGTGCTCCCGCAGCCCCAGTCCGCACTTCCTGTGCAGCCCCAGGCCCAGCCCAGGCTCATCTTGTGAGCCCGTTTGGAGACCTTAACTAAGAGTCCCATAACTGTGGCAAAGACGAAAGCTGGTGTGCGTGTGTGCGCGTGTGCGGCGCGCGCTCCTGTAAAGTGGGAAAACGGCGCACTTGAAAGGAGCACGTGGAGCAAATGAGCACATGTCCTACTTTCCCGAGGGCATAGGTCTGCCCTGGACGGAAGTCAGGTCGCCTCTGTGCGCCCGCGAGGGCACAGGGGAGCAGCTGCCCTGTCCTGCTCCCTCAGCACCAGCGTCCTCATGGAAGTGCAGTTCACACTAAGCGACCTGGGCCCAGCAAAGTGGGTGCCAGCGCAGGCGGGCAACAACTCGGGCCACATGGGGCCTGCTGCAGCCCGGGGTCTGGGTCCAGGTCACACACCTGCGGATGGGTTTTGCTCGGCAGGCGCACAGCGGTACACGACAGCATTTCGATTTTTCAATATTTGCAGGAAGCTCCTGACATTGAGAAATGTCACGCTGAAAACCCGAATTTCTTTTTTTTGTTTGTTTTTTTGTTTTGTTTTGTTTTGTTTTTTGAGACAGGGTCTCACTATGTCGTTGAGACTGACCTGGAACTCACTATGTAGCTCAGGCTGGTCTCTAACTCACAGTGATCCTCCTGCCTCAGCCTCCCGAGTGCTGGGATTACAGGCGTGCTCCACCACGCCTGGTTGAAAACCCGAATTTCTGGCTGTTCTTCGCAGCAGCGTTTTCAAGCCCTGAGCCAGAGCGCTGGGCCGGGCCACACGTGCAGGTGTCCAAGCCGGGAAGTGCGTCTCGGGGAGTACGCAGCAAGGACCTGGAGAAGCGGGGAGGCTGCAGTCAGGAAGGAGCGGCCGGGAAAGGGCGGGCTGGCCGGCGACCAGCGTTAGCCCATGGGAAGCCGCGGAGTCGTGGTTTCGTTTGTTTTATCCTGGTCTTTAAAATTTTGTCAGGTTTTCAGTATTTTGTTTTGAAGGGGGCCGTGCTCTCCCTTATCCTTTGGAAGGAGAACTGGAGTTGGAGGGGTTCTGACTGGAAGAGCGGCTGAGAGGGGCTGGGGGTGTAGCTCGCTCTGAAGACCCTGCCTCAACCCCCAGCTCCCCACGGGGAGTTCGGTGCACTTCCTGCTGGGTGCAGCCCGGGAGCAGCCGTCCTCCGGCCTTGTTAGGATGCGGAGCCGCAGGCCGCACCCGGCTTCGGTGCAGAGCTTGCTCAGGACTCTGGGAATCTGCGTTTCTAACCAGTTTCTGGGTGATGCTGACTCAGCTGGTTTAGGGGTCGCCGACGTTAAAGAAAATGTGGCGTCACACAGTGGAGTCCTACTCTGCTACGAAGAAGGATCAGCTTGAGTCGTTTGTACGAAACGATGCACGTGGAAACAATGTTATGGGAAATACAGCAGACACACAAGCGGAAATAGTCACAGGAACCAAAATATAAATAAATGAAAGAGCAAAACAAATGGTGGGTAACGGGAAACAGAGATCGATCTTTTGCGAAAGGGAGGAAGACAAAGAGATGGAGGGAGAGGGAGGAGAGGCGGAGGGGCAGAAAGAACGCGATGCGTTCGGTCCACACACAGCTTCACGTACTGCAGGCGTGGACGAGGGGGAATCAGAACCTCCCTGCATGCAGCACAGCGTGTTTCCAGCTGTGTGCACTGCGTCAGCGTGGCCGCCTGCAGCCGGGACTGTTGCGAGCTGGGCCTTCTGCCTTCCTGGTGCTGGGTGCTCCGGGGCCTGCTCAGAACTGCCTGGAAAAACCCCCTGCTCTGCAGTCTCTGGGGTCCCCGGTTCTCCTTGCCACCCTGCATGTCCACGGCACACGTGGCGTGCTGAAAGGCGCCACTCATGTGCTGTGAAAATGCCATGATATTCGTCTCCTTTCGTCCTTGTTTCGGTTTTGGGGGTTTTGGCGGTTTTTGGGTTTTCCACCCTCTTCAACACATGTGACCTCAAGATCGCATTCTGTCTCACGCCGGCCTGTTCTGTGTGGGGAGAGGCCCTGCTGCGTCCGCCTTGGGCACCCATGACTGTCCCAGCCCGGAGGCCCCTCGGTCCTCCCCTCTCTGCCACTGTCCCGTGCCCTGTAGTAAGGCACCTGGACCACTGGGAATGTTGCTCGGTATTTATTAACCGCTTCCTGAAAGATCAGAGTCGAACCACATACTTAACAGTGCATTGGAGCACGTAAGAAAATGTACGTGAAATGATATTTAAAGCATGATTAATGTAAGTATGAAAGGGAGGTTAGAGGAAATCACCATTTAAAATATGTCCCCCATGATTTTTATGGCTTAATAATTTTCCTTGAAATATAAAGAAAAGCTTTTCCCTCAAAACTGGACTTTCCACTCATTCTTATTGGTTGATCCTTATTATTTTCTTTTAAAAATGTTTTTCTCTCTTATTTTTTTTATTAAACTAGCAACAGTGAACAGAACATACAGAATGAAGGCAGGAAAATATTTTAAACATTGATGTTGCTCCACATTTTTTTGCCAGTTCAGCAGCTACTAGAAACCCTGTCAGCAGGGTGACTGTTCTGGCTGTGTGGTGAGAAAATCCTGGTGTTCCTTGGGTTCCTTTCATGCAAACCCAGGCACTCGGAAACCGCAAGAGGAAGGGACAGTCTGCCATCCCCTGGGCCACCACGCCCAAGCCCCAGAGGCCCCAGAGCGCCATCTGGGATTTTGCTGGCCGGGCTTCTGAGAGGACTAAGCATGGTGGCTGCAGGAGACTCGCCTCCTGCCAGCTCCCGACCCCAGGGAGAAAGAGCTTCTTCCTCCACAAGGGCTCCTGTCAGGAGCCACACTGCCCTGCTGTGGTCACCGGGGCACCGCCAGGCCTGGTCATGCAGACATTCCAGTGGTGGCAAGAGTCCCGCTGACCTCCTGAAAACCCTGCAGAGTGGAATCCACCTGAAGAAGGAGCTCTCTTGCCAACGGGAAGCCCAGGCCAAAGTAATAGATGCCCATTTGCCAAGGCCAGTGACGGCCATTGTCAGACCACCAGGAACTTCGTTAGTGTGACGTCAATTCCTATGACTATGACCACAGACCACCGATATTTATTGTTCAGAAAATTCCTAAGAGATTTTGTTTCTTAATATCCTGTTCCATTAATCTAATAACCGCTATTTTAAAAGAGGATTGAGCTTGTCTTTTTTTTTTTTTTTTTCCTTGAGATAGGATCTCACTGTGTAATCCAGACCAACCTTGGACTTGCTTTATAGTTCAGGCAGCCTTGGAATTTAGGATCCTCCTGCCTCAGCCTCCTGCATACTGGTCCTATAGGCATGCATCACTACAACCAGCTTGCATTTGCTATCTCGAAGTGGATTCATGCTAATACTTAGAAATCCTAAGATTAGTAGTTGAGTCCAAGGTGTATTTGGATTCAGTGAATACCGAATTCGAACAGCAGTGGGAGTACTTCCCAGGCTGCTGGGCATTGGTAGACTGGTAGAACCGTATCGATTGTGAAAACACTCAAGTACCCACTCCCTGCCCTCCACCTGCCAGGTTTCTGCCCTCTTCAGTCAGAAGCAGAGGCCAACACGGGACGCGGCACAGCCCCTCCAGCTCCATCCCGGCCTCGGCTCTCAGCTGTCCTCACTGTCCGTGGCCTGCATCTCATCCAGAGTGCACACTGTCGCCTGCCCTGTGCCTGTCCTGGGGGTCAGCTGCAGACTGGCCACGCCCGTCGGGTAGTCTAGGGCTCCCTCCGCCCAGGGTCAGGCGGTGGGTCCCTCCTGTGTGACCGCCCGGGACTCGGCTCGCACAGCGCACGCCGGCCTCTGTCCTGGCAGCCGGGGAACCAACCGTCCACCGTTTCCGTGAAGGGGTCACAGCGTGGAATTCGCAGCTTCAATTATAGGGGCCACATTCAGACGGCAGGGTCTGCTGGGTGCAGTCATTTTTACTTCCAGGGGAAATAAGTGACCCAAAAGTGGGAAGAGTTTCTTCTACTTGGTTTATTATTGTTGTTGTCATCATTATTATTATTATTACTGTTTGGTGGCCACTGGAGTGCCTTGAAGGCGTGGAACATTTTTCTTAACAGGAAAATTTTGTGCCTTTTCTGTCCCTCCGTCTCTGCCTCTTGCTTCTGTTCCGTTTTCTCCCTTCTTTCCTTGCCTTCCACCTGCCCCCGTGGCACCGACCTCACCTCTGCGGTGAAAGCCGTCTTGTCCAGAAGGATCTGCCCGAATGCGAGTGGCCCCAGGTGGCATTTCTGTGTTCAGAGAAAGGAGTGGAAGCCTGTGCCCCTATCCCTCTGGCACCCCAGGTTCTCGGGGCCCAGCAATGAGCGACTCGGGAGGGAGGAAAAGGGTCTCCCCGAAACCTGGGAATACATTTGTGGCAGCCAAGTGCAGCTGGGACGCTGCCACCGATGTGTTCCAGAGCTGTGACCGACTCAGTGCAGAGACGTCCCCTCGGCTGCCTGTATGCAGGACTGGGGTCCCCTCGGCTGCCCTGCAGGTGAGATCAGGTCTGGCAGTGACTGCCACGTCCCGGGCCCTCAGCAGCTGTCATTCCAGGAGCCCTCCTTCCTCTGCACACCCCGAATGGGAACCCTGGGCCAGGTGCCTTTGGTTCTGTAAGGAGTCTGCTGCTGGGATGTTTTGCTCTAGTAACTCGGCTACTTCTGGATGATTAAAGCAGCGACTTGAATGAAGCCAGCGGACTTGGAAACTGCAATGAGATCTGTTCCTACTCCCACCCCAGGCTCACTCAGCTCAACCAGAGTTGCC